TAATTACTGGAAGTTGTTCAGCCAGAGAATAGTATTGGTCACCAAATCCAGTAAAGAAAATCACTTGCCCCATTTTCTCAACAGTAGCAATGTAATTGAGCAGCAGAATTGTGTCATACAATCTTTTTTCTGCAGAAGGGTTTTTAATTATCCCAACTACATTACAAAAAAGATTTGCCATTGACAACAATTGTGTCCAATTCTAATAACAGTGCAAGAAAATGAAAACCACATGCAGAATGTTAGAAACTAAGACGTCTTATTTCTAATTGAAAATGGAATGAATTGATCAAAGAACCAATTGAATGACACAAGCAGGAAAGACAGAAATTTTGTACTTAGATTGAGTGGCAGGTCATTTAGATAGTAAATCAGGCAGATATTATAATACTCTCAACTCCTAGAAACCATCACCCTACACATCAACCCATATGCTTATGCAAATATCCCCACTCTGATTAGTTTTAAAATTATCTTAAATGCCACCAATTATTTGAAGTCTTTTTCAAATCTCAGTTCTCTTGAACAAACAATCAGAAAGTTTGCTGGAGTAATCACTTGCATTCTATATCCTTGTCTCTTCAGGGACTCCACATTATAACAAATTGAAAGGGGGACTCCAATTCTCCCTTAACATCTTTGTTCAGGATTGCACATTTTAGCTCTCATGAGCAAGCAATTAAAAAGTTACGTTTCTGAGAAAAGAAAATCTGTATTAGCAGCTGGCCTGGCAAGAAAAAAGTAGAGGCAATGTCCTGGAAAGGAGAAAAAAGAAAATAATAAAGAGATTCTGAGCAAGGGCTCAATGGCTCACGCCTGTAATCCCAGAACTTTGGAAGGCTGAGGTGGGTGGGTTGCCTGAGATCAGGAGTTGAAGACCAGCCTGGCCAGCATGGTGAAACTCCATCTCTACTTAAAAAAAAATATATGGAAATTATCCAGGTGTGGCGGCAGGTGCCTGCAATCCCAGCTATTCGGGAGGCTGAGGCAGGAGAATTGCTTGAACCTGGAAGGCAGAGGTGGCAGCAAGTGATGGTACCATTGCACTCCAGCCTGAGCAACAGAGCAAGACTCTGTCTCAATTAAAAGAGAGAGAGAGATTTCTAATCTACAGGAAGAAAGAATAGCAGGACCAAACAAGCTGTGTGCATAAATACAGCCCATATATATAAGTTAAGGGACTAGAATCCAGCAGGTTGTACTCTGAAGAGGTTGGCTAAGGGATTAGGGTGGGTGTCTGTGGGAATCTGATTTCGGGGTCACGGGTATTAATTTTTAAAAGAAGCGTATACAAGTAAACTAGTTTTCTGTTTTTGATTCTTGGGCCCAGCTGGCTCTGTTACTAATGATGGAATCAATATGGAAATTCCATAATTAATTTAACTGACTTCAACATATATGGTTCTAGTCTCATTGAAGCCCTTGGTGAATCAGGGTGATTCTCTTAACGGAGGATTTTTGTAAAAGCATGATAACACTTCCTTTACATTTCCCAGATGATAGCTCCCGAACCTCTCTCCATGTGTTTATAACATTCTACAGTACTTTGTAATTTGATAGGCATTACCATTTGCATTAGTCCCTTTTCACACTCCGTAAGAAACTTCCCTGAGATTGGGTAATTTATATAAAAAAGAGGTTAACTGACTCACAGTTCTGCGTGACGGGAGAGGCCTCAGAAGACTCGCAATCATGGCAGAAGAAGAAGCAGACACCTCCTCCACAAGGCAGCAGGAGACGGAAGAACAAAGGAGGAACTTCCAAACACTTATAAAACCATCAGATCTCGTGAGAACTCACTCACTATCACGAGAACGGGATGGAGAAAACTGCTTCCGTAATCCAATCACCTCCCTCCCTCCACACGTGGGTATTACAATTGGCGATGAGATTTGGATGGGGTCAGAGAGCCAAACCCTATAACCATGTCATATTTGAGAGTAGAGACTACATTCTACTTATTTTTGTAATAAACAAAGGGTCTGATACGCTTTCTTGCACATAGTGGGAACTGAGAGTGTATCCATAAAATTGAAAAAGGTAAAAAGGAGAAAAAAAATAAAGTCATGCTCCCATAAAGACTACACTACGAGAATATCTTTCCAAATTACTTGAGTACCATGGACAAATGCAATGACAAAGCTCTATTTGTCCTTCAAGTCTCAGCCCAGAAAGATCTCTGTAATATGTATGAGCTCCATTTCTATTTCTGTTTACAATAGTTTAAGAATCAAGCAATGATTACATGTGCCTAACACCAGTTCCTTTCTGACAGATGTGATTCTTCCTATCATTTCAATTCCTTATGCAGATTGTTCCTAAATGATTCAATTCTTCTTAATTACAAGGTCTCAAAGAGCTACACATGTGAGGGGACACAATCCACAAAACCATGGAGTTTAAAGGGAACTACTTTTCCCTGGGGTCTTCTCCTCAGATGTTAGGAAATGTAACTGATTATTTCAACAAGGGGAATTTCTTTCCCCTCAAGTTGTGACCTGGTTTATCAGATAAATTCAAAGCTTCTGGGTAAGCACCTTAAGGCCATACATTTTTTTTTTCTTCCTCTCACCGTTTTTGGCTGCTTGCCTTCAAAGTGCACTCTGGCAGACTTCATCCTTTAAAAGCTTAATAACCTAAAAACCCACAGGGTACCTAGAGTACCTCTAGTTTTTAGCCCTAGAGCTAGAGGATGGATGGAGTAGAAATCTAATGCACTTGACCTTCTCACCTCCTGCTCATAGCCCATGCCTCCTATTACACCCGCTCAAATCCTCATTGAGGTCAGAATTGAGCGTTTTTGCTGAAAGACATCTCTAGAATAGCTACTGTACATCTCATATAGGCAATTGGGTTTTCTAGGTGCGAGTTCTTCAAAGTGTGGTCCTCATCTGAGACTAGTAGCATCAGACTCTCCATCACTTGGGAATTTGTTAGAAATTAAATCTTGTATGCTACCCCAGACCTCCTTAATAAGAAACTCCGGGAGTGGAGTCCAGAAAGCTGTGTTTTAACAAGCCCTCCTACGGATCCTGAAGCGTCCTAAAGTTTGAGAACCACCCCTCTGAGTAACTGAAACAGTGGTATTTGGTGATAAAACAAGGACTAATTTATAACACTAAGGAGCAATCACTCATCCCAATCTGGTCTCAGGAATTGTGGGATTTGGTGACTTCATTTCAAAGGGACAATGCTCATCACTGAAGGTGCTTGGGTAGCTGGCTCTGTGCATTTGAAAATACATACTGCTGTTCTCCCATGTGGTCCAAGGTAGCGGAAGAAAATGAAAGGTTCTAAATTTTGACTGGTAAAACCTGGGACTAGAAAAGGAGGGGCTGAAGCTCACAAAAATCATTTCATTTTTTAAGATTTGACTATTCACACTGTGCTGGTATTTTCTTTGAATTTCATTTTATCACAGGAACTTTGCTTTTCAGGGTTCCTCCCAGTGAGTATTTATAAGGTCCTATTTTGTGTAAGGTATACATTAAAAAGAGCTATCTCTAAAAATAAAATAATAATAAAAATGGAAAGAACAATGCCAACACTAGACCAATTTTAAGAAATTACTTATCTATTGTGCGCAAGTATATTTTAGGGAAAACTTCTTTGGAATTCAGCCTCAATAAGACGAATCAACATCCTCATTTGGCACTCATTCCTACCCCAAAAGCTACCTTATAATGGCTTAGTTATCTTTCTGTAATGCTGGATATTTGCCCTTGAAACTGTGCATCCATTTCAGTTTTCTTCTAATCCAAGCATGTAACCTTACTGGAGGAATGCATTGTTTAAAGGAACTCTCCAAAGATTCTGTTTGAAATACACTTAATGGTGTAGGGTTCACTTTATTTTAACAAATCTAAGTTTTCCTATAACTAAATTTGCACAATGTAGAATTTAATCAAGTTAACATTTAGGAGGAAAGAGATAGGGAAAATGGGCACATGGTCTAAATTTACAGAAATGTTTCCTAGGAGTCTACATTTGTGAGAAGCCAGTACACAAATTCATCTGTAAACACAGTAGAACTGAAGTCCAAATTAACCTAGCCTTATATGAGGAAATACAAGACTTCAGTTCTAATCAGCAGGAAATTACTATACCTATAGGGCATATATATATAATTATAAGTCAGTTGTATAAAATAACTTTACATATATAATTACTCTGTAGATATATAGTAATTTTCTGGTGTTTATATATATGACAATATATAATATATATATTATACATATACACATATATGTAAAATATGTATTTCTTTGTCTGAGATTCACTTTCCTCACTGATAAATTCAACATGTGATCCCATGCCAAGTTCAATGGATTCTTTGGATGATCTGGTAACAAACTATTTCATCACTATAAAAGCATGCTAATGTTAAAAATTACTAGAACTGAAAGAAATATACAGGTATTCTTAAATTACTGATGGTGACATTTTACTTTGTGACCTATTATGAGCCAGTTTCCTCATATCACCTCTCTCATGTGGATGTTGAATTGGTTTTAAGTAGAGAAGTGAAATTTCCCACAGTTGAAAGGGTGGATGTGGGACGTAGGACTTCTGTTTTATCACCAGCTCATACCCGGCAAAGTTTCTTTCAGCATCTCAATGTTAATGTGTATTTGTTTACCTGTGTGCATGTGCATTGGCTGGGAATTGGAGTTAATCTAAGATACACACTAATCCACTGAATGTGCCTCTAAACACGAAATGTTATATCCTGTTGGAGTAAGCTAGGAAAATTGCCTGGTCTGCAGAGTGCTGAATTACGTTCACAGCATAGGTGATGGGCATTGTGTACTTTCCCCAAATGTCCACTTTTCCCCCAAGGAGAGATTTAAATTGACCTTTACTTCTGCTAGTCGAACTTAAAGAACATTGAGTTGCAATCTCTCTCCTTAGTTTTCTCTCTTTAACCTCAAGGCTGAAGTTCAGAATCATTTTTCCAAAGAGAATGTTTCCCTTAAACATATTCTGTTGCCTTTCTACAGAAGAATCTGTGGAGTGATGTTCCTGAGATCACCCAGGACAGGCTCCCAGTCCCGCAAGCATTGTCCCTGGGGTTGGCCTCTGCACCTGACATTTTTAGGGCCCGAGGCCCTCACTTCTGGGCCAAGCCAAGAGAAGAAAGAGCAATTCAAAAATTCATCGTGGAGACTGCAGTAGAAATGAAGAACTGGCTCCACCCCCACAGGATGTTACCCCAGCTGCTTTCCATTCACAATCTGGTTCTGAGCAGACCAAGGAAAACACAGGACGAGGCTGTGCTCCGGCTCAATTATACATTCAAATTGCCTGTATTTAAAAACCCCTAAAAACTGTAATGGCTTAATTAAGCTGGTAGCTTTATGGCATGCTTCTCCTCACAGCCTAATTCAAAGCCCTTTCTCTTTCACTGAGAAGTCAATGTGACAATTCTGTCTTGCTGGGATGGCTGCCGCAAGGAGGAGGGGCTACAGGATGGGAAAATGAAGAAAGTGGATCTTGGTGGAAGTTAAATTTCTCTTGTGGCAGATGGTCTACAAATCTCCAGTCCTTCAGAGTACATAAAACGGGTCCCTGGGGAAAGAGTAGGCATTCATCTAGGTTCTAGGAAAAGTAGAATGAATTTTCACATGCTGAAGCTCGTCTTTGGAGTCCATCAACTAAAAAGGGTCTCTTCTGAAGAAGAGAAATTCAGGTTAAGAATTCTATTTTTTTTTTCTCCTATAAAAGAGCAGGTTGGCCTTACCCTCACCTCCCCGTCCCCCATCTAAATGCCATTGTTCTTACTTTCCATGCCCATGGGATATTTATGGAGTAGCATTTTAATGGCACGGAATGAACTTCCTGCCTTCATGTAGAAGTGGCTGGCCTCCGTGGATAGGGGTGCTGCTGCCACTCACTGTCATCTGCTTTACAGAAAGAGCCTGTTAAGGCTGCAACAGTTTCATTATCAGAACATTCAGGTCTCTTGCTATTGTTTGAGAAATCCTTCGTTTGAGGATATGTTGAGGCATTGTCACATGTAGAAAGTCACTTTTTAAGGAAATTAATTACTCGTAACCTTTATTTGTTTAAATGCAGTTTAAGATCTGTGCTAAAGAATCAGACTATTTCACCTCCAATATCACCTACGTCACGCACTAGTAGTGAAAACTTATGTTAGTGACTTCATTTTTCTTATCTCTAAAATGGGATAATAATACTGATTTTTAGCTCACAAGTTTGGTAGGATTGAATAAATAATACACCTGAGGTAATTAGCACAGTGCCCAGGCCTAAATCACTTAATGATATTAGTTAATAAAAACAATAACAATTTCACCAAGTTCACATTCTGTAAGAGTTATACTTACAGGAACACTTAACAATTATATATCTAATCTTCATCAGATAGAGAAAGAGACATATTTGCCATCCTGGTTTCTCGGGTTCATAGAGAAGTAATGGCAACACAATTTCACTACATTTTGCTTATTTGGGATTCTGGTGTCTGTCTTTTTATTTCTCCTTTAACAGCTGCTCTCATTAGCCTTTTGGGAATCCAGCTAAAGAGTTTTTCATTTTTAGGAAGCCACATGTTCCCTATCTTTAAATCAAAGGTGAAATACAGCGTACCATGGCAATAATCCAACATTTGAAGGCCACATGGACTTTCCAGTTTAAACTCATTTTCTATGAAGTCAAAACTCATCCTTCGCTTTTGAAAGCACCAAAAGCAATTAGCTGAGACAGCAGAGAACAGACAGGAAAAGGAGGCCCCTGGTGGCCAAAATGAGGCTTCTCCCTTTCCGTTTTTAATGGTATGCGAAAGGCATTAATCCACACTTTCATTTTCTATTAGCCAAATAGAAATGTCTTGAGATAATGTGAATACCTTATGGCATAAGTGACTTTCTAAAGTATCTTATTAGAACTCCTTATCTGTGTAAATTAGGCAGTACTGAGGCTTGACAGCCAGAAACATATTTCTTAAAAGCTGACAATTACGAGAAGCTCCCCAAAAGTTAGCCAAATACCACAGGGGAAAATTCCAGAGGGCAGCTCTAGAGTGTTCGCAAGGCTGGCACCTTTCTGCCATGTCACATGCAGGTGACCTCCTTGGGTGGCAGCTTCATTTAGAAATGAAGTCAGATTTCCTAGATGCCTCTCAAGAACCATGAGGCCAAACCACGTGGTCACAAATAGATGTTGGGATATTATTGCAGAAACAGATAAAAACTTTATCCGTGTTGGGTGTTCAATACACTTTGAGAAAGATACCCTAGATTTCAAGTGCGTTTGTTTTAAAAAATAAGGTTGTAGAGTATTTAGACAGCTTTGCTCATTTTCATGTAGAAAGGCCTAGAGTGTTGGAGAAAATCCAAATAAAATGCAAAGGAATAAGAAAAAAAAAAAAACCCAAAAACCTCTAGAAAGTGTTTCTATCTCTTCAGAATGGAGGGTTATGTGTTGTTTGATGAAATTAGCTTATCTAAGGGTATGTGAGGAAAAGCCAGGTATTTGGTGATGTTACCGAAATCCAAATTCCAAAATTCAATCTCTACCTCTTTCCACTCCACCTGCTCTGCTCCACCCCCAGAGGCTGCACCACATTGATCCTCACATTAAGCCTCCAACTAGTCTGTTCAGATTTACTTGGAAATAAAGAGCTACTTTATTTATTTTCCTGGGAGACTTGGCCAGGGGCCTTCTGGGTCCATCATCTGCACTGTTTTCCTTTATTTTAAAGTTTCTCCTTACAGGACTGCCTCCCTGCAAACTTGTGTTGGCTATTACAAATAGACACCATTACCTTTGAAAATGGATTCATTCATTCCATAAAAATTCACTGAACTCTATTGTAAAGATCAGTATGCTTCCACCATAAAGAAAATTTTCTACATTCAGATTTTTCTTGTAGGTGTTTGTGTGCACTTGAGCTTTTTCTTTTTGTATCTGAGTTTTATGATTCAAGCTATTTTCTTAAAATTCAAGCTCCATCTGATTTTTTTTTAAATGTGGGCCATTTATCTTACTACATGAATCAATTTTCTCTGACCAGGGGCCTCTTCTCCTCATCAATATTGTTGCTTTTCAATTCCTCCCTTATATTTCAGGTAGATGGTTAAAGTAGTGTGACCACAGTTAAGGACACATCAGAATATCTCCTGCTGAGGCAAAGAAGATAAACACAGTTAATGGATAAATAATAGGCCAATGCTGAGGTCAATATTTACCCCTCTGCTACAATAAATCTTGATAACTTGAAAACTACCAAAACAAGATGTCAATAATCAGTATGGTGTGCTATAGCCTTCCAAAATAGTTTATCAGAAAGTTATGGAAATGCTGGAAATAAAGATTGCAATAATTGTGTGATATTCTTTTGGTCCCCAAAAGAAATTGTCCTTTATATTAATGTAAAGATCTAGAATCTTATGGGTTTCCAAACTTTTATATGCACTAGAATCATCTGGGGTACACTTCAGTAAATACAGAGTTCTGGATTCTGTCCATAGAGATTCTGACCAATTAAGCTTGGTCTTAGGCCCTTAATGCAGACAAACTAGGAAACATTTTGAGAAACACTTAGTTAAGTTCTACTGCTATTCATTAAGAGTGGTGAAAGTGGGCATTTTTGTCTTTTTCAAGTTCTTAGAGGAAATGTTTTCAGCTTTAATGATTTTGTGATAAGTATATCTCTATCAGTAAAATATTTTAATATGAATCTCTCAATAATATATTTATAATGTTTGATATTGACTATATTAACACAAAATTTTACCAATATTATGTACATTATGAAGTAGAAACAAAAACATAAATTTTAAATATGATAAAATAAGTAACTACAGTTGCAATATTTTTTTCTGTATATCCAATAAATCATAAAGTGTTGTATTCTCAACTGTCCTAGCTTTGTTTCTCTACCCTAGCTTTGTGCATTTTGACTGACTCTGTCTTTGGTGAAAATCAAGTACTTCGTTGGCATGTATTTAAAAATAATTTCCAACATGTGGGACAATAATTTTTTTTCAGCCTTGACATTAGTTAGTGATTCTCAAATAATGATCTCTGGTTGGTAATTTCCCAGTAACATCTTTAAAAATATTTTTAGGCTGTTTTCCCCAAATGGCACAGGAAAATACATACACAAATGGATTATTCTCAGTTTCAACTTGGTCATCCATAAGCTGAATTGACACCATTAGTCCCTCATAGCTTATCTATGCTGAGTGTCTTCAAAGTGTGTATGCGCACTCCTGGATCCTGTTTTGGTTGTATTATACTTTGCTGCTATTGCTTGTTTTCTTTGTTACTCATGTTAAATTTTTTGTGGTACACTTAGAGTTTCTCTAAACTACTGTAACTTCACTGGTTTCATTGATCATTTCCTCTGGTTAATAGACTTGATGTATATTTGAAAGTGCTTTCAAACTTTAACTGCAAAGGAATCATCTAAGGATCTTGTAAGAAATGCAGATTCGCCAGGCGCGGTGGCTCAAGCCTGTAATCCCAGCACTTTGGGAGGCCGAGGCGGGTGGATCACGAGGTCGAGAGATCGAGACCATCCCGGTCAACATGGTGAAAACCCGTCTCTACTAAAAATACTAAAAATTAGCTGGGCATGGTGGCGTGTGCCTGTAATCCCAGCTACTCAGGAGGCTGAGGCAGGAGAATTGCCTGAACTCAGGAGGCGGAGGTTGCGGTGAGCCGAGATCACACCATTGCACTCCAGAGCAGAGTGGGTAACAAGAGGAGCAAAACTCCGTCTAAAAAAAAAAAAAAAAAAAAAAAAAGAAAGAAATGCAGATTCTTACTCAGAATCTGAGATAGTGGCTGAGTTTCTATACTTTTAACAAGGTCCCAGGCATAGGCCTGTTGCTGCCAGTCTGTAAACTGAAAGTTTTTTGCTTTGCGTATGACTCTCACTAAGCCCTACACTCTATTATTGATCATATTTCCAGATATGTACCCTATATATTCAACTATCTACATTTTCTAGGAGTGTGGCAGTCACCTCAGCAATTCTTATTGATGAGGATAAGCATTTTTTGACATCCGCTCTATAATCATTAAGCCACTTTTTCTCTCTAAAATTCACTCCCAAGACAGCATTCTGTAATCATGTTTTGATCTTGGAAGAGTGTCAGCATAGCATGTGTGCCAAATTTTTGTCTTCCTTTAGGGATTTAAAAAGATTATTCTAAGTGTTGTTATTTACTTATAAAAACATTCAACAAGCACCAAAAAACTACTCATGATAAATGAAAGAAAAAAAGAGCGTGAGAGAAAATATGCTAAATGGATGGATACACACCAAAATATTCAAACTGAGTTTTTCTGGAGTTGTTACTGGAGCATTTTTAATTTATTTGTATTTATTTATTTATTTTTGAGACAGAGTCTCACACTGTCACCCAGGCTGGAGTGCAGTGGCACGATCGAGGCTCACTCCAACCTCCGCCTCCCAGGTTCATGCAATTCTCCTGCCTCAGCCTCCTGAGTAGCCGGAACTATAGGCATGTACCACCACACCTGGCTAATTTTTGTGTTTTTAGTAGAGATGAGGTTTCACCATATTGGCCCAGATGATCTCGATCTCCTGACCTTGCGATCCAC